ACTGCTGTTGTCACCCACCGGACCGTCTGTCCCGCTTGTCCTCCCTGCCGCGGGGCTTGCCGGGCCGGCCAGGCCGAGTACAGGCGGCCGGCCCCCCCCCGCTGCCACCGCCGCCATGCTGGCCGTTCGCCCACCCCACTGGGGGCCCCACCGCGCTCCAGCCCCCCGTGGGCCCCGCAACAGTCCTGACCCGGGTAGGGGGTGGGGGCTGGGAGAGATGGTCCTAGTGTGGGAGGGCCCCAGGGAAGAGGTGGTTTTGGGGGGAAACTCCAAGAGAGGAGGGGTCCTGGAGTGGCAAGGGATGGGATAGGAGAAAGGGAGCTGACATGGGAGGCCTGTGGGGAAAGGATTTTGTTGTGTCAGACGCTGGGGGGTGGATCCTATGTGATATTTGGGGATTTGACTGTGGGGGCCTTTTAGGAATGGACACAGGTGGAATGATCCTGATATAGAGTGTTAACTAGAGAAAGGGTTCTGGTGGGAATATTGAATAGTAGGGTTGGGGGATGGAGGGGCAAGGATCCAGTGAAGGGGAGAAAAGGATGATCACTCTAAACTGTGGGTAGAGACACCTCACCTTGCTCCCATCAGGAGGAATGGGCCATAACTGGGAAGGGGTCTTGGAGTAAAACTATGGGGAAGAGCCCTGACGTGGCACGGGGGAACTAGGTTTTATGGTATAGGGAGACTAACTAGAGGTATGGACCCTGATGTGGGAGGACCTGATATAGGGAAGAAGTCCTATATGGAGAGAGGCCCCTGGGAAGGATGTGCCCTGGTAGATGAGAATGCCATAGAGGTAGAACTCTGTTAGGTAGGGGTTCTCAGATAACCTTTGTGTGGTTGGGAGGTCCCCCAGGATAGGGGCCTGCAGATGACACTGCTGTGGTTTGGGGAGAGGTATCTCCGAGGACTCATGTGGTTTGGATGATCCTAGAGGTCTCTGGATTAGGGGAATCTGCTTGGAAGGGTAGACCTCACTGTGGTACAGGATGAGGTCCTCGATGTTCAGGGAAGAAGGCAGGATTTAGTGTGTGGGGTCCTGGGGAGGGCCACTAGTAGAAGTGGGAAGAAAAGAATTAATCTTACTCCCCATATCGTCTGTGGTTTCTGTCTTTTTCTCCCTCCAATTATTGGTGTCTTTTTGTTCTTTCCTGTCATGGCTCATATCCTTCACACACACACCCCGCGGCCCCCCCTCCCCTGGCTCCCAATCATTGCCTCTTACATGTTCTCCTCTTTGTGCTGCCTCATTCATTTATTTGATCATTTGTCGAGGGACTCTGCTGTACCACCCCTCCACCTGCCTGTTATTTCTCAATGTCCCCTCTCTTCATTGCTACCTGCTGCTCTGTTGCACCCTTTTCCTCCTCCATCTGTGCCCTACCTTATTTCTTTTGCCCACCTCTTCCTTGCCTGGCACTGTCCCACACATCCCCTTGTTCCATGTTTCCCTGCCTCCCACCTGCTGTCAGGTCTCAGCGGCGGTGGCAGCCGAGGTGCAGGATGCGAGAAGGCGCCCCCCGGCCGGGCTCCCACTCCAGGCCTGGCTCCCCTGCAGCCGTCTGAGCCTACCATGGCCGTCCCACCAGGCCATGGTCCCTTTGCTGGCTTCCCAGGACCCCAGGAGCACACACAGGTACACATTCAGCTGGCTCCTCATCTGCCTGGAGGTAGGGGGAAGCTGGGGATAGAATAGTCTCAGGACCAAAAGATAGTGCAGTTGCCCAGGACCGTCTTCTAGGGGCATGATGGGCACCATTAGAGTGGAAGATAAAATAGAGGAGTTTCAGGCAGAGTCATGGTTTGGAGACTCTGGGTTCAAATCTTGATATGGTGGTTAAATTACTTAGGTCCTCCATAATTGTGTTTTTTAATTCTGTAGAATTGGGCCAAATACCTACCTCATAGGGTTATTGTGAGGATTAAACAAGTTAATGAAATGCATGTAAAATGCCAAGAACAGTTCCTGGTACATAGTAAACATCCAGTAAATATTCACTAAGAAAAAGAAGTCTAGAGTGAAAGATCTGGAGGGAGTAAATGGGGGAGGAGGATTAAGCCTGAAGGGTCTTGGGAACAACAGGGCCTGGGTGGTACAGGGTAGAGATCATCAATGATAGAGACAGTTTAAACTCAGAAATGTGGAGTTTGAAGCAGGATAGAGTGGGAGGTCCAGGGTGCCAAATCCAGATCCAAGAGCGTTGGGGTAAAAGGACTGGTCAAGAATGCCAGAGTTGAGGGTGAAGCTTGGGAAGGCCGCAAGGTATAAAGGTAAATTGAGATCAGGGGACTTCAGAGGTGGGATACCCAGAATGGGATAGTCACAGGCTGAAGGATTGGGAGGGGCAGAGCCCAGGTTTTCCATATCTCTGCCACTGAGGTTCAGAAAAGATTAAAGGTGTGAGGTGAAAAAGCTGACTAAGGGTCTGGGTGAAAGGCCAGGGATAAATAGTTAACTCATTTGATCCCATGACAGATCTCTAATGAACATCTATATGTGCCAGCCCTGCTCAAGTCACTGAAGATGTAGCAAGAATAAGACAGTCTCTTCCCTTGGGGAGATTATATTCTAGTGGGGAAGCCAGACAATGATCACATAAGTATGTGTATGGCGAAGACGAGCTGACAGTCCATATAGTCCTTTCCCTTGAGGTCCGAGGTGAAAGCCTGTCTTCAGCGCCCACATCTCACTCTGCCCTGTAGGTATTGCCTGATGTGCGGCTACTGCCTCGGAGGCTGCCTCTGGCCTTCCGGGATGCGACCTCAGCCCCATTGCGCAAGCTCTCTGTGGACCTCATCAAGACTTACAAGCACATCAATGAGGTGGGCAGGGAGTGGGGTACCCCGGACTGGGTGCTGAGGGGTCCTGGCTGCTAGTATGGGTCACTCACCAGTTCTCATATCCTGGCTGGCTGGCTGGCTGAGCAGGTATACTATGCGAAGAAGAAGCGGCGGGCCCAGCAGGCTCCACCCCAGGACTCGAGCACCAAGAAAGAGAAGAAGGTCCTGAACCATGGTTTTGATGACGACAACCATGACTACATTGTGCGCAGTGGCGAGCGCTGGCTGGAGCGCTATGAGATTGACTCTCTCATTGGCAAAGGCTCCTTTGGCCAGGTGCAGGACTCCACCCGCATTCAGGGATTGGGGGGCACGGGCACCACTAACATTCGTCCACACACCCAGTGGTTCAGTGGCTTCAAGTCCCATGCTGGGCCACTCACCCCAGCCCAGTCACTTAGTTTCCCTGTGCCTCAGTTTCCTTTTTTTTTAAAATGGTGCAAATAACAAGACTCTCCACATGAGGTAGTTGTGTTATTTCACATCCCTTGTTTACACCGGTTCCTGACTGATGGTGAGTATTCAGCTGTGAATTCTGAGGGTCCTTCAAAAGGTTTGTGGAAAAGGGCCGTCCTGTGGCTCACTTTGGAGAGTGCGGTGCTGATAACACCAAGGCCATGGGTGTTCAGATCCCCATATAGGGATGGCCGGTTAGCTCACTTGGGAGAACCTAGTGCTGACAATGCCAAGTCAAGGGTTAAGGTCCCCTTACCGGTCATCTTTAAAAAAAAAAAAAAAAAAAAAAAAAGGTTTGTGGAAAAATAGAATTAAAAATACAAATCTTTCCATTAACTTTCTGAAGTGCCCTATTAATAGTGTTGTTGGTGGGTCTCCTTGGCTGGAGGGAGAAGAGCACTTCCTTGCTCTGTCCTGCACTACCACCCGCAACTCCATCACATGCTGTGCCCTGACAGGTGGTGAAGGCCTATGACCATCAGACCCAGGAGCTGGTGGCCATCAAGATCATCAAGAACAAAAAGGCATTCCTGAACCAGGCCCAGATTGAGTTGCGGCTGCTGGAGCTGATGAACCAGCATGACACGGAGATGAAGTACTACATAGGTGAGGCATGGGACTGGCAGGGCTGTGGGCACCTGGGATAGTGGGATGGGTCACCCCCTAGTACAGAAGAGGGCTGATGTCTTCAGGGCAGGGTTTGGTCTATGCTTCTCTGACATCAGTGATTCTCCTGCTACTTTCATGATTTTTGTTCTATTCACTTGACAGTGATGGTCAGAATTTACTGAGAGCTCCCTCAGTAGGCTCTATTGTAAGCACTTTACATAAATTAACTCACCACGGCCCAGTGAGGGAAGGGCATTCAGTTGCTGTCACTTGCATGAGGTGACAGTTTATACTCAGCAGAGCTATTATTTGACAAGGCAGTGGACTCCAGAGCCTTTACTCCTAACATCTCTGCCCAGTCTTTTTCCTTTCTTACACTGAAATCCTCTTAGAAAAAGCAAATGGATTTTAAAATTGTGTGTTTCTTTTAAAAGGAAATTATTCATCCTTACAGTAAATGGAAAACCAGTATCCATTGCCACAAAAATAAATACAACTGAAATGTAAACAATGTTATAAAATTAAATGAAGAAGTGTAGAATTGTGTTGAAGATGTAACAGTAGCTAGTGGAAACTTTCTCTTTGGTTTAATCAGAAGGTTTGTTAGAGACTTGAAAAGAGAATTAACTTCCTATGCAAATCAAGTTATATACCATATAAAAACATTGTGACTAGCAGGTTTGGCTAGTGCTCAAGAAACAGAGATATATATTAGTGTGTGACCCCAGGCCACCACCTGCCCACTGTGAGCCTCAGTGTCCTCTGTGTCTCTCCATTTCTATCCCCTCCCCGCAGTGCACCTGAAGCGGCACTTCATGTTCCGGAACCACCTATGCCTGGTGTTCGAGCTGCTGTCCTACAACCTGTATGACCTCCTGCGCAACACGCATTTCCGCGGGGTCTCATTGAACCTGACACGGAAGCTGGCACAGCAGCTCTGCACGGCGCTGCTCTTCCTGGCCACTCCCGAGCTCAGCATTATTCACTGCGACCTCAAGCCTGAAAACATCCTGCTCTGCAACCCCAAGCGCAGCGCCATCAAGATCGTGGACTTCGGCAGCTCATGCCAGCTTGGCCAGCGGGTGCGGCACAGCCCCAGTGGTGGGGCTAGTGGTGTGGGTATAACGAGGGTGGGTGCAGCACCACTGGGGAAGCCAGGTTCAAGGGATGGAGCTGGACTGGGATGGGATTAAGGGCACAGCCTGAAATGGCTAATAGTGCTTATGATGGGTGTATTGGCTGGTATGGCCCTAGAGGGTGTGGCCAGTGGGTGACAGGAGTAGAGAAGTGGCCCAGAGAGTATGCTGCCTAGTAGGAAGGGGAAAATGAAGCCTGAAGCAGCAGGACCCATTCTGAAGCTGCACGGTGTGGGCAGGGTGAAGTTGGGTTGGGTTTGAGCCTGGGATGCTGCTTTGCTAAATTTTGTTTACCCTATACTCTTAAAGCCGGGGATGCAGGTGGGGGCTTTAGCCTTGCAACTTCATGTGAACAGGCACTTAAGGTGACAATACTATTGTGGCTTGCAGACTGCCAGCCTCTGACTGGTGACCAACAGGGGCTCAGAGTCAGGGCTGGGGATGGAGATCAGGGTCACACTAGGCCAGTAGAGACTCCTAAGGTTGATGAACAAGATGGTGGCATTGACTCCTGGAAAGTTGGTGCTGATGATGTCAGGATTTGGAGCAGGAGGCTGGCCGTCAGGTTCTTCTAGCTTGAGGGGTGTCAGTGGAACCAGTAGGGGAGGCTGGGACCCCTGACTATTTCCCTTCCCTCAGATCTACCAGTATATCCAGAGCCGCTTCTACCGCTCTCCTGAGGTGCTCCTGGGCACGCCCTATGACCTGGCCATTGACATGTGGTCCCTGGGCTGCATCCTTGTGGAGATGCACACCGGAGAGCCGCTCTTCAGTGGCTCCAATGAGGTGTGCCCCCTAGGAAGGGGTGTGCTGGAGGTGGAGGGGGTGGAGCCTGGCTGGCCTGATGACCCTGACTGCTGCCTATTCACAGGTGGACCAGATGAACCGCATTGTGGAGGTGCTGGGTATCCCACCAGCACCCATGCTGGACCAGGCACCCAAGGCTCGCAAGTACTTTGAACGGCTGCCTGGGGGTGGCTGGACCCTACGAAGGACAAAGGAACTCAGGAAGGTGCGGCCCCTGCCCCACGCCACTCTTCCCATCCCGGGTGGCCCCTCACTCTCTCACACTTGGGGCTTCTTCTCTCCCTGCTTTCTCTCCCTATGTCTTTCCCATTCTTCCTCTCCCCCTTGTCTGTCCTCTCCTTCCTCCCCTACCCACCCTCTCTCTCCTTCCCACCCACAACTCTTAGCTTCTGTCTTTCCACTTTCTCTCTTGTGCCTCTGTTTCCCCGTGTGTGTCTCCCTGCCCCTCCTGCCCACTGACGGCCACTCTCTTGCCCCCCCTCCCACCCCCTCCCTGCCAGGATTACCAGGGCCCCGGGACACGGCGGCTGCAGGAGGTGCTGGGCGTGCAGACGGGCGGGCCCGGGGGCCGGCGGGCGGGGGAGCCGGGCCACAGCCCCGCCGACTACCTCCGCTTCCAGGACCTGGTGCTGCGCATGCTGGAGTATGAGCCCGCCGCCCGCATCAGCCCTCTGGGGGCTCTGCAGCACGGCTTCTTCCGTCGCACGGCTGATGAAGCCACCAACACGGGCCCGGCAGGCAGCAGTGCCTCCACCTCGCCCGCGCCCCTCGACACCTGCCCCTCCTCCAGTACTGCCAGCTCCATCTCCAGCTCTGGTGGGTGCCCAGTGCCCAAACAGGGTACAACGGTGGGGGCAGCTCTGGTTTGGCCTGGTGTGGCGGACCTTATTGCTGGGCCTTCACACTAGAGCTTTGAAACTGCCCAATCCTGAACTCCAAAATAGGGTGGGTTGGGAGAGCTCTGACCTTCTCTGACATGATCTCTGGAACTGAGCATGGGCTGTTTCACCTAAAACTGGTTCTAACTCTTAATACCCGAAACTAAACTCTCACCCCAAATCTCAAAATTGGGCTTGATCCTTCATATGGACTCTGACTGGGCCTTAGCCATGAGCCAGATCCATCACTCCAAAACTCAGCTACCACCTCTCCTCACCTGTGATCTCTTCTCTCTTCCCTGGTTCAGGAGGCTCCAGTGGCTCCTCCAGTGACAATCGGACCTACCGCTACAGCAACCGATATTGTGGGGGCCCTGGGCCCCCTATCACTGACTGTGAGATGAACAGCCCCCAGGTACTGGGGCTTTGGAGGCAGATGGAGGGGTGCCTGGGGCTTCAGGGCCTGGGTCTCCATCACTCACTGCTCTTTTGCTTCTTTAGGTCCCACCCTCCCAGCTGCTGCGTCCCTGGGCAGGGGGTGATGTGCCCCACAAGACACATCAAGCCCCTACCTCTGCCTCGTCACTGCCGGGGACTGGGACCCAGTTACCCCCCCAACCCCGATGCCTTGGCCGTCCCCCATCACCAACTTCACCACCACCCCCAGAGCTGATGGATGTGAGCCTAGCGGGCGGCCCTCCAGACTGCTCCCCACCTCACCCAGCACCTGCCCCCCAGCATCTGGCTGCCTCAGCCCTCCGGACTCGGATGACAGGAGGTCGTCCACCTCTCCCACCCCCTGATGACCCAGCCACTCTGGGGCCTCGCCTGGGCCTCCGTGGTGTACCCCAGAGCACGGCAGCAAGCTCATGACCCTGCCCCCTCCCTGGGGCCCCTCCTGAAGCCATACCCCCCTCCCCATCTGGGGGCCCTGGGCTCCCATCCTCATCTTTCCCCTTGACTGGAATTGCTGCTACCCAGCTGGGGTGGGTGAGGCCTGCACTGATTGGGGCCTGGGGAAGGGGGTCAAGGAGAGGGGTTTGGCCCCACCCTCCCCACTAAGGACTGGACCCTGACCCCTTCTCCCCCCTTGTTTTCTATTTATTGTACCAAAGACAGTGGTGGTCCGGTGGAGGGGAGACTCCCCTCACCCCAGGGCCCTAGGAGGGGGTTGGGGCAGGTAGGGGGAGATGGCCTTGCTCCTCCTCGCTGTACCCCCCAGTAAAGAGCTTTCTCACATGCCTGCTTGAGCGTTTGCAGGGCCTCGGCTCCCCTCAGAGGCATGGTGGGGAAGGGGGTCTTGGGAGGGGGTGCCAGAAGCTTTGTGGTGTGGAATCATCCCTTCTGGGGAAGTTATGGCTGTTGGTGCACAGAATCCTAGTCAACGTTGCCTTTTCCAAGGTAAACTCTGAAAGGGTGAAGGCCCAACTCAGGCCTGTCTCTGGGAAACATCATGTTCTGCCCTAATGCCTTTTCCAAGGTAAACTGAGACTCTGAAAGGGTGAAGGCCCAACTCAGGCCTGTCTCTGGGAAACATCATGTTCTGCCCTAATAAGCTAGGGCTTCCACAAAGTCTGCTTCCACAGGAGTGGTTCCTTGTGCGAGGCAAGCATTCAGGTGCTGAGTGCATGTAGGAGGCCGTTATTAGTGCCGTCTGGGGAATAGGCAAGCGGTGGGTACAGGCTTTACCCCCACACATGTAGGTCCCGCCCTTTGGAATCATTGTGAAGCAAAGCGTTTTGCGATTCTGAGGCAGAAAGATATTCCCGGGGTTCCAGGTAAGTGGTCTTGTTTCCATGGCAACTTGGAAACGTGTCTCTCAACTGGCCAATCGAGAACCGCCTGGTTCAAAGGGTACCGTCTCCTACCTCTGGGGCGTGGCGCTTCCTGGGAAATGGAGTTCTGCTAGTAATGCGTTTTCCCGGTTTTCGCTGGGAAACTACAAAGACCAGAATTCTTTTCGGTCTCAGGATTTGGGCACGCTTTTCAGGCAGCCAATCGGTAGTCAGAGGTAGATGGGGCCCGGATGTTTGAAGTGGTCCGTAGAGGGGGAGAAGGCTGTGATTGGGTGGTTTTGAGCATGCTGTGTGCAGGTGTTGCGTTTCGCGGAAGGTGATGCGGGGAGGGCGTGCAGGTTAGGTGTTTCAGGAACCGGCTGTTAACGGTGAGCCCCGCAGTGGCCCCGTCACGAGGGGCATCACTGGACGCTGCGTCTGGCCCGGTCGCGGGAAACCTCAGTCGATAGAGACGCAGGCAAGGACCTCGTTATGGACCTGTATGTGTTCACTGATGGAGGCAGTGTGGAACGCGGTGGGAACCCAGAGGAGGGACAGGTAGGGAGACCTTCCTGGAGGACTGGGAGGTGTCTGAGTTGAGACCTGAAGACGGAAGAATGTTTGGGGGTGGTGGTGCGGTGGAATGGCTTGCTCAAAGGCAGCGATGAGAAACATCCTGATGTGTGAACTACAGGCGATGTGTTGTTGGCAGAGATCATATTAAAAGTTCAGTATGAATTAGATCGTGGAAGATTTTCTTTGGTCATTTAGAGAGCTGGTCTTTGTCCTGAAGGCAATGAGGAGCCATGGGAAGATTTCTAGAAGGGAATAGTCATGGCCCAATTTGCTGCGATATGGGAATAGATGGACGAAAACGAGACTGGTGTTCAGGAGCCCAGGGTAGCGCCTATGGCAAGAGATGTAGGGGATGTGGCTGGCCAGTTAGCTTACTTGGGAGAGCATAGTCCTGTTAACACCAAGGTCTAGTGTTCGGATCCCGGTATCCACCTAACACCACACACACACACACAAAGATGCCGGGATGGGTCAGGAGGGCAGGGGCAATGGTAGGGAGGACAGGAAGGGGCGGGTGGGAGAGGTGTCCAGAAGACTGAGTTGACAAGCTCTTTGGGAAGGGGAACGGAGAGAGGCGAGTAAGGGATATCTCCAGCCTATAGAACAGTGCCTGCACATCGTAGGTGCTCAGTAAACTTTTTTTTTTTTTAAGTAAACAGTCCTAGAAGGCAGATGCTATTATGATCTCTCTTTTGCAGATGATAATACTGAAGGTAGAGGTTGAGTAATTAGCCCAAGATCCTATAGCTAGGAAATGGAAGGCTCTGGCTTTGTGCGTGTGTGTGAACTGTCGACTTAGCAAGGTGCAATATAAGCCTAGAGATAAGCAGGGGCCAGGTTATGTAGATCCTGTAAATAACGGGATAGGCATGGAAATGTATATCCCACCCTTCAGTTACCAGCCCAGAACCTCTCCCCTGAGCTCCTGACTGGCTGGCTGCCTGATACCTCCTGTTGGTTATCTGGAGGTATCTCCGGAGTAATCTTGGTCAAATTGAACTGCTGCTCTTTTCCCCAAAACCTACTCCCCCCATGTTTATCTCAGTAAATGTAACCTCTGTCCTTGTTGCTCAGGCGAAAACACGAGTTGTCCTTGTCACCTTTGTCCTATACCCATGACCAGTCCATCAGCAAATACCTTCAGAGTATACCAGAATCTGACCACTTCTATCCATCTCCACTCCTGTCACCCTGCTCCTGTCCACCCTCATCTCCTGCCTCGACCGTTATGACAGCCTCCTTAATGGTCTTCCTGCTCTTACCCCTATCCTCACAGTCTGCTTCTCACATGAAGTCAGAGGGATGCTGTGAGCACCTGCATCAGGTCACATCCCTCCCCTGCCCAGAACCCTTCTGTGACTCCATCTCACTCAGGGTAAAAGCCAGAGTCCTTTCCATGGCCTGCGAGGCCCTGCGTAATCTGCCCTCATCACCTCTCTGACATCGTTTACTCTCCTTGCTCACGCTGCTCCAGCTACACTGGCTCAGGGCCTTTGCACTTGCTGTTCTCTTTGCCTGGAATGCATATCTCCTGGATAGCCCAGACTCACTCCTTCACCTCCTTTAGTCTTTACTCAGTTGTCACCTCCTTGATATCCTCCCTTACCAACCTTCTAAGACTGTACCACTAACATTCATATCCATCTTCCCTTCTTTAACTTTTTCCTTTGCATTAATCATATTATTTAACTCACTGTGAAACTTTTTTTTTTTTTTTTTTTTTAAAGATGACCGGTAAGGGGATCTTAACCCTTGACTCGGTGTTGTCAGCACCACGCTCACCTTCACCTCCTTTAGTCTTTACTCAGTTGTCACCTCCTTGATATCCTCCCTTACCAACCTTCTAAGACTGTACCACTAACATTCATATCCATCTTCCCTTCTTTAACTTTTTCCTTTGCATTAATCATATTATTTAACTCACTGTGAAACTTTTTTTTTTTTTTTTTTTTAAAGATGACCGGTAAGGGGATCTTAACCCTTGACTCGGTGTTGTCAGCACCACACTCACCCAGTGAGCCACGGGCCGGCCCCACTGTGAAACTTTTTAATCTTGTTTATTGTCTCCCCTTCTTCCACCCCAGCAACCATCAACTTCATGAGGGCAGGGGCTTTCACCTACTTCCTGCTTTATCTCCAGCACTTAGAAGAGTACTTGGCACGTGTAGGGGCTCAATAACTGTTTTACCAAATGAATGATTTCAGAGCACAGATCCAGATCTCAGCATCCTGGGACTCCCTTTCTAGAGAACTCGAAGGGGTTGCCTTAAAGATTTTTGAGGACACAAGCCATTCAACAAGTCCTTCATCTTGCCTCTGCTTTGTGCTCAGCATTGGGAACACAGCAGAGAACAAAATAGTTTCCCTGATCCCAAAGAATACATAATCATGGGGATGGGGGGTTCAGACTATCAAATAATCAAATGTGAAAATACAAAGAGAGAGAGTGCCATAAGACCACTTGATAGGAAATCTAGTCTGGACCCTAGGAAATGAGGTTTGAGGTGAGGAGTAGGCACTAACTCCATTAGAGAAGAGTGTGTGATGGTTGAAACCTAGAGGCTGAGGCTGAGCAAGATGCCGGACCATGTAGATCCTGTGAAGAGTTTGGGTCTTTATCCCATGTGTAGGGGGAAGTTGTAGAAGAATTTGAAGCAGTGGAAGGGAGCATAGCCAACTGTATATTTTCAAAGATTCTTCTGGCTGTTGTGTGGGGAATTGACTATAGGAGATTAAGGACTGAGGTGGAAAGACCAGTGACAAGGCTGTTAATGTGAAATTAAAACAGCAGTGATTAAGGTCAGCCACACATTCTTTGCTCTTTCTCCTATCAAGAGGTGGAGTCTCCTTCCTTCTTCTTGAACCTGAGCTGGCCCTGTGATTTGTTTTGAACAACAGAATGCAGTGGAAGTGATGCTGTGCCAAATGGGGGGCCAGGGCCTTAAGATGCCTGGCAGCCTCTGCTTTCATTCTTGGAGTCCGGACGTCTTTATAGAGGCCCAACCAGTTCCCAGATGTTCCAGCGGTTTTAGCTGATGTGCCAGGCATGTGAGTGGTGCCATCATGATATCCTAAGCCAGCTCCCAGCTGACACTACGTGGAGTAGAGATGAACCATCCTGAGTCCCCTCACCCTCTGAGCCTTGCCCAAGTTCTAGAATCATGAGCAAATAAATGGTTGTTGCTCTTTTATGCCACTGTGTTTTAGGGTGATTTGTCACAGAGCAATAACTAACTGAAATGAGCTAATTTTTTTTTGAATTCTTACTGGTTTATGTATTAGCTTATTTAATCCTCACAGTCACCCTGTTTGGTACTATTATTATTCCCATTCTACAGATGACTAAACGAAGGCACAAAGAAGTTAGTAAAGTACTAGCAAAGGTACCTGGTACGTAGTAAGTACTGAATACGTGATAGCTATTATTGTCAGCATCATGATTATCAGCATCAAAATGTCCATAACTGTTAAAGAAGCAGTAGTCAGTTAGATGAATAAAAGCATTATTAACCTACTTACTAATGGTGTGATTTTAGGCCATTTTCTTGGAAGGACTAGTAAAGAGAGAAAGGCTTCAGGTCCTTGTAGAGACTTGAGCTTGATGCTGAATGAGATGGGAAGCAATCAGAGTGCTTTGAGCTGAAGTGATGTGATCTAAAGTTTTCACAGGATTCTTCTGGCTGCCATGTAGGCACAGGATGGAAGCAGGATGCCAGTGGGGAGGAGACTGCAATTTGCAGTTGTCCAGCTGAGAGATGATGGTGGCTTGGCCTGGGTGACAGCAGGGGAGGGGGGTCATATGGCCAGATTTGGGGTCTAATTTGAAGGGAGAATCAACAGGATTTGGGGTGTGGGCGTGTAGTGAGAAAGAAGAGTTAAAGACAACTCTGGTTTTTAGCCTGAGCAGAGGAAGGAGGGAATGCCAATAACTGTATGGGGAAGACTAAGAGAGGGCGTGGATACGTTAAGCCTCCTAGTGGACTTGCTGAACAAGCAGGGGGACGTGCAAGACTGGCTCCCAAGGGGTGACATCCAGGCTGGAGACAGAAATTTGGACTGCTTGGTATATTCATGGTATTAAAGCCCAGGATGAAATCCCTAACAGAGGGGGTGTAGATGGAAATGAGGTCTGAGAGTGAGAGCAGGGAGGCCCATGAGGAGGTTGCTGTGATAATCTAGGTGAGACACAACTGTGGCCTGGACCAGGGCAGGGGCAGGAGTGAGTAGTCGTCAGAGTCTGGATACATTTTGAAGGCAGAGCCCACAGTGGATTGGTTGTAATGATGGAAAGAAATGGACAGGGGCCTCATGAGAAGAGAATAGAGGCACAACATGGGACAGCGACTCAACTTTCCTCCTTCCCTTGGGCCCTGTGTTCTCTGCTTCTTTTTGTATCTGCTGTTTCCTCTGTGCAGGCAGCTGGGCTGGCCCTGGTGGCCTCTTGCCCCAGTTTTATGTGACTTCCAGCTCAGTTCCCCATAACCCCTCTCTCCCCATTTCAAATTCCCAAACAGGAATTGGATTGCTGGGGTTGGGTGTCCAACCCTACTCAAACCGCTGCAGCTGGAGGGTTCCTACAGTAATGTCTGTCTGCTGGGAAGGGCTGTGGACTAGGCACATACTCCAAATCACCAGTTACAATGTGTTTCTGACAGTTGGTGTATTGGGTGCACGTGGGGGTGTGTGTGGGGTGATTTACCCTGTTTTGGTAGGTGGGTGGGACAGACCAATTATGTCGCCTCAGATGTGTTCTGGAATGGATAAATTGGGTAGGGGATATCAGGAAGGTGAGATCTGGCAGGCTCTGGGCTGAGAAGGGTTAAGGGTCAGGTTGAGAGAATCCAGGCACAGCTCATGCTTGCCCATAGGTGTTCCCAGAGTAGCTAGGGAGACATACATTACAGCTAACTTGAGAGAGACATAGTGATGACAGAGACAGCCTCCACCCTGCCCTCACAGAGCACACAGTCCAATAGGGAAGT